TTGGGCATGCAGATCATGCGAGAAAAAAAATCCAAGAGGTTATGGTTATCGCAAGAACGGTATGTGAATCGGATTCTGGAGAGATTCAACATGAAATCGGCTAAGCCGGTCAATACACCGTTAGCCAATCACTTTAAGCTCAACAAACAAAGTTGTCCTACGAGTCAAGAAGAAAAAGAAGCTATGGCGGGTGTTCCATATTCCTCGGCAGTCGGGAGTTTGATGTATGCCATGGTTTGTACTAGACCGGATATCGCTCACGCGGTTGGAGTTGTTAGCAGGTATCTTTCCAATCCTGGGAAGGATCATTGGGAAGCTGTGAAGTGGATCTTGAGGTACCTAAAAGGCAGTGCAAATAAGTCCTTGAGCTTCGAAAAAGGAAACCCAATTCTTGAAGGTTATACAGATGCGGATATGGCAGGTGACCTGGATAGTAGAAAATCTACTTCAGGGTTTGTGTTTACATTTGCAGGAGGAGCTGTATCATGGCAATCTAAATTGCAGAAATCTGTTGCCTTGTCGACTACTGAAGCAGAGTATATTGCAATGACAGAAGCATGAAAAGAAATGCTTTGGTTGAAGAGGTTTCTTCAACAATTGGGAATGAAGCAAGAAAGGTACGATATCCATTGTGATAGTCAAAGCGCATTGGATTTGAGTAAGAATGCGATGTACCACTCTCGCACGAAGCACATTGATGTCAGATATCATTGGCTACGACAAGCAGTGGAAGAACAACAGTTCAAGTTGGAAAAGATTCACACTGACGAAAATCCTGCTGACATGATGACGAAAGTTGTTACAGGGGGAAAGCTTCAGCTTTGTGCCGAGTTGATCGGCATAGAATGCATGTGAAGATTTGCAGAATATTTCCCTTTGGCTGGAGGGGGAGAATTGTCATATCCAGCCAAATTGTCATGTGGTGTCCAACCACAAACAAACAAAACCACAATAAAAATAAAAAATTAAAAAAAAATAAAAAATTGGTAGCAAGTAACAATTATTGAGAGAAAAGAAAGAGGAAAGAGCTGAATGATTTTTTTTTCTCTCGGTTCACATGCATTTCATCCCTATAAATAGGGAGGTATTCAGCAGAAGCAAGGTGCAGCAAGCAGAAGAAGAAAAAAAGAGAGAGCAGGAGAGTACAGAAATAATATTTCTGTGTGTGTTATTTTTCAGTGAGATAAAAATAGAGTGTTTGAGTAAATTCTGTGGGTGTGGGAAAAATACACCGGGTTGGGTATCAACTCTATTACTCTTTGTTTAGGAGTGGGGTTCTCACTGGGTCACTATATTTTATATTTCTAGTGTAAGGGAGTGTGAAAAGATATTGTAATTATCTTGAAAATATAGTGGAATTGTTTGGAGGTTGTCCCGTGGTTTTTTCCTCTATTTGGAGGTTTTTCCACGTTAAATCTTGGTGTCTTATTTCTTGCATATTTTATTTATTTGGGATATTCTTAGTATGCTCTGTGGTCGCAGTTTAATCTGAACTTCCACATCAGAAAAGAATTATTCCGGTTTTATTGCAAGAGATTTCTTTTGTCATTCTTCAGTTGCTGGGATTGAGATTATTGTTTACCATTTTACCTTGATATTTTAATTTACATCTTCCGCATTGCGCATCTGAGCCCAACACAACAACTAACACAAAAGAATCAGATTCTGGTCCAAAAAAAAATCCAGACGAGAAGTCAACATAACGAGAGAGCAGATACGCCAGAAGGTATCGGCTACATAAATTTGAATGAAGGGTATCTGATGCGGATAAGGCATTAATTATTAGGATTGTTCTTATTATTATTATTATTATTATTATTATTATTATTATTATTATTATTATTATTAGGTATCTTGGTGAATAAGTTAGGAATTAAATATTATTAGAGATCTTGTCTTGTTGGACAAGTTAAGAATAGGGTTTTGGAGTCTTATTTAAAGGGCTCATCATATATTGTTTTAGTCAGTTGAATTTGAATAAAAATATGAATTGATTGTGAGTTTTATCGAGAGAGTATCTCGTTTTGCGTGTTTTACGAGAGAGTATCTCGTTTACTCATTTTATTCTTCTCATTCGTACGCTTCCCTACATCGGTTGGTATCAGCAGTCAGTACGATCGTGATGTCGCAAGGACGAGAAGATGCTGTAAACAAACAACGTGATGCAACCTTCAACGATCGGTTTCAACAGATTGATTACCGATTTCAAGAGTTGGACGTGCGTTTCACGAATTTGTTTGCCGATCTTTCGACGGGGATCGAGGATTTGTGTTTGACGCCAAACAACGTATTGTTACGGAATTGCAGACGGACCGCGATGGAGGCCGTGACTATTGCGGGGGAAACAGAGGCGGACGTGGAGGACTCGGCCATATCGGGGCGCCCCGACAGCGGTCCCCGCCACCTCTAGACGGTTTCGTGGACGGCGACGATCAACGCAGCGACATGGGCTGGCGCAAAGAGGCAGCCTGCGCTAGCGGATATCGTGTCCGACACGATTGGAGACTTGAATGTGATTGAGGACTTGATCGCGAATATGGTCATTGGGAGGGCCCGTTTCGCGTCAACATCCCCGAATTCGAAGGAGAGCAAGTTGATGGGCCATTGTACGACGGTCCGCCCATTTTTGATGAGGAGCCTCCGGTGGCAGAGACACAAATTTTCGGCGATATGGGCCCTGCGTGGATCGTCGCAGAGGTTGAACATTCAAATAGAAAACCGTCGGTCGGACCCAATTTTCAGAGCATCTTGGCCGTGGATGGTTTTTCGGAGGCGAGGCCGGGACTCAAAAACTGTTGGGACATTTTCCGACTATCTGTATTGAAATCTTCCAACAACGGAATGCTTAGCCGTAATTGTGGATTTGAGAGAGACAAACGACATGGTATTTATGGTGTTTATTTCGCTGGGTGGTCCTTTGTTGCAGCCACGTCATTTCCTAACATTATGATTACCATTGGAGCTATTGGGCAACCTTCCACTTTCGTGTTCGATAGGGGGAAAACGATGAGCAATGGATTCCATGGGTACGACTCCGGTGTCGGCGCATCTTGCACGGCTTCGAGGGCGAAGCCTTCCGAACCGGGGGAGAATGATGCGGATAAGGTCTTAATTATTAGGATTGTTCTTATTATTATTATTATTATTATTATTATTATTATTATAATTACTATTATTATTATTATTATTATTATTATTATTATTATTATTATTATTAGTAGGTATCTTGATGAATAAGTTAGGAATTAAATATTATTAGAAATCTTGTCTTGTTGGACAAGTTAGAAATAGGGTTTTGGAGTCTTATTTAAAGGGCTCATCATATATTGTTTTAGTCAGTTGAATTTGAATAAAAATATGAATTGATTGTGAGTTTTATCGAGAGAGTATCTCGTTT